GCTGTGTTTGGTGGAACACAATCACTTCACACAAACTCTTTCGATGAAGCAATAGCTTTGCCCACGAAAACGTCTGCACATATTGCGCGGAACACTCAAATTATAATTCAGGAAGAGAGTGGAATCTGCAAGGTTTGGGATTTCTCAGATGAGGACTATTTTCACAAAAACATTTAGGTTGCCGATCCGTGGGGAGGATCCTATCTGATCGAATCATTGACGGACGAAATTTACCAGAAAGCAAAAAAAGTTAGTTTGAAATCCGCACCAATTTATTTTAGGGTGTTGGAACTTTCGAAAAACTTGTCCTTACTAATTCCCACTCCCCATATAAGTTCCATCTAGAATAGCAGGGCCCAGGACTACAGCAACAATGACTTTTGTGAAGCTTGTGCGAACGTACGAAGCAGTTATTATCCTTGGCGCGCTTAGTGCAGCGCTGCGCACGCGGGCGCTTCGCTTATGCAGCCATCCTCCTCCGTCTAGGATTAGACTATAAACACTGCAGTTTTGAAGAGCGTGAAAATGAAAACCTCTCTAATTTTCTTTAACTTACAGATCATAGCCGAAGTCGATGAACTTGGTGGAATGGCTAAAGCGGTAGCGAGTGGTATGGCAAAAACAAAAATCGAAGAATCTGCTGCTAAGAAGCAAGCTCGAATCGATTCGGGCAAGGATGTGATTGTTGGTGTTAATAAGTATCAAACGGATGAGGTGCTACTGATATCATGCTTCAAAATTCGACCAGATCAGTTTTCATCTTTTTTCAGAAAACACAATTTGAAGTGCTAAAAGTCGACAACAAAAAAGTCGCTGAATCGCAATTTCATAGGTTAGAACAATTACGTAATTCAAGAAATCATCATGATGTGGATCGAACTCTTGATGCTCTTACAAAGGTATGGTACTCTCGTTTTGATCCCTGGGATCAGATGCTCTTCTTAGGGAGCTGCTGGCAAGGAAAATCTCCTCGCTTTGGCCGTTGAAGCTGCTCGAGCCCGCTGTACTGTGGGAGAAATAAGTTTAGCGATGGAGAAGGTCTTCACCCGGTAAGTGACATGAGGCTGTGTG